GCTGCCTGGAAATAGTATCCAGAAGGCAGCACCAAGACGGTGACCCGGACAGAGCCCCAGGGTCTTCCTGGGACAAGGAGGTGACGGCGGCTGTCTAGGTGGGCCACGGTGGCCAGTGTTCGCAGGGCGGAGTGCCGGAGGAGGGTGAGCGGCACGGAGAAAGGGCGCTGCAAATGGGCAGAGGCGCACCCTCAAATCTCCAGCTGAACACTGATGAGCACGTGTGCGGGGGGAGACCACGCCGTGCCAGGGAGAGAGCCACCTGGGAGGATCAGAGGAACGCCCTTGAAATTCACACAGGGCTGGACATAGTTTGTTTCCATCCGCCAAATTCGTGGGTTTGTCAGGCAGAGTACTCAGAAGGGTGTTGTATCAGGAGAGGAGAACATTAGTCCTGCGATACCAAAGAACAAAGCAGAAAAACTAGCTGCAAAGGAAGGAAAACTAGACACAGGCTGTTTCCAAGCAACTCTTCCCAGAGCAAAGCACAAGAATATTTAGGAGACTACAAAAATATGCAGCGTTCCACGTGGTGAAATTTACTTTGGTCATCCAATCAAATATCACCAAGCTTGTAAGGAAGTAGGACAATACAACCCCTAATAAGCAGAACAATCGGTCAGTAGAAACAGACCCAAACATGACACAGATGGTGGGATGAGTAGACAAAGACATTAAATAGTCATAACTACCCTCCATATCTTAACTATGTTATATAACATGTTCTAATCATGTTCAAGTACAGGAAATACAGACCATGCTAGGTAGAAATTTGGAAGATACAAAAAAGACTCCAGTGAAATTCTAGAGATGAAAATTAAATGATCTAATACAGAAATACACTGGATGGGATTAATGGCAGATTAGATATGGCAGAATAAAGATGATTACACATGAAATAGAAATGGAAACTGCAAAATGAAACAGAATAAAGAGACTGACGGAGAAAAATGAACAGAGCCTCCGTGAATATAGGCAACTTCAAGCCACCTAAGGGGGTGTGGTAAGGAAACTTTGGGGGGCGGTTATGTCTGTCACCTTGATGGCGGTGGGTGGTTTCACAGTTGTGCACTTACGTTAAACCTTACCAAGTTGTGTGCTTTATGTGTACATTCCATTTATTGTACTTCAGTTATGTCTCAACGCTTACTAAAATTACTTTTTACATTTTTTAAGGGGGAACTAAACTCCCAGATACGATCAAGCTGGGAGACGGAAGTGAGGTGGTGGGTGCCTGGGTTTGTTAGCAGTGGGAAAACACCACCAGGTGGCGGAGACAGACTGGGCCTTTGTTCAGCGATCTTAGTGCTTGAGTTGTAGATAAGAAAGAATTTGGAGACAAGACTTAGAAAGTCACAGACTGAGAAGCCCTGGGCTCAGGACACGAGTTAGAGAGGCAAAAGAAAGGCCCTCGCAGCTTAGGGAGAAAGAGAGGCAAGGAAAACCCACCTGGGGGGAGGGGATGGGGAAGGACATGGGTGTGCTCCGCACAGAGCCACCTGGGACCCTACACTAAGGACTTCTCTCTGGAGACCTCGGGGGGCAGAATCCCAGCAGAGCATGCGTGAGCAGGTGTGAGCTCGCGGTCTCTACTGATTGGTTGGCACCAGCAAGTCCGTGTAGCTGGTCCTGATGGTGGAATGGCACTGCGCCCTCTGATCTGGGGGCCTTGGTGGATCTGGAACTGAAACACCGCTGAGGCCGAGATGTCACCTCCAGCGGGTAATGCTTAAGGGGATGGTCCTGCAAGGGCTTGTAGTTTTGCCTGTTGCTAAGCACCCAGGGTTCTGTACCCTGGTGACCACCGCACCTGCCTGTCGTTCCCACTCTGCTGACACCTGTCTCACTGCCGGCTGCAGGTTGGGAAACCAAGTGGGGAGAAGCAGTAATTTTCTTTCTTTTTAAAAAAAAAAAAAGACTTTATTTGTTTATCTATTTTTAGAGAGAGGGGAAGGGAGAAAGAGAGGGAGGGAAGCATCAATGTGTGGTTCCCTCTCACACGCCCCCTACTGGGGACCTGGCCCACAACTCAGGCGTGTGCCCCAACTGGGAATCAAACTGGTTATCCTGTCGTTCACTGGCTGGTGCTCAATCCATTGAGCCTCACCAACCAGGGCTAGAAGCAATAATTTTTAAAGCTGTTTATTAATGTTTGGGAGAAGAGGATAAGAATCCCTATTTACCGTATAGCTTGTTATAAACATGTATTAAAACATATGGGTAGCCACTGACTGAAGCAAAACTGAATGTACTTGAAACCAGCGGAAGGGAAAGTACAGAGATCAGCAGTGTGGCTAAGTAACCCAGACTTGCACTAAAATCAGTACCTGCTCTCCACACCAGCAGTAACCAATCAGAAAATATAACGGAAACAAGAAAGTGTTCATAGTACTTTCTGATATGTTCTAGGAACAAAACTAACAAAAAAAATGAACCAGAATTTGAGACTATATCTACAATATTCAGACATTATTTTAGAGTTCCTAGATTTTTTACAATCCTCATCAAGGATATGTTTATTGATTTAAGATGGAGAGAGAGGGATAGAAACATCCATGTGAGAGAGAAACATGCACCAGTTGCCTGCAGGACGCGGCCTAACCAGGGATTGAATCCACAACCTAGGTATGTGCCCTTACCCAAGATTGAACCTGCAACCTTCTGGGGTATGCGATGATGTTCCAACCAACTGAACCTCCTGGATAGGGTTTCAAGGACATTATTTTAAGTCTTAGCCTCTTACTGTTTCCTCCCTAACACTAAAAGCTACATTAAAAAAAAACCCACATTTTTTGCAACAATGTTTCTTAAGAAAAGGGAAAAATAAAATATTGAGTCAGTTATTTTTGTATTTCGTTTCTTTTTTGTAAGTTTCTTGAGGGAAAAGATCTCGTTTGCACTGTTCCGCACTCTGTCCCTAAGTATACCATTCACAGTGGTGAGCACAGTTGGCCCTTTACAATCAATCACTCTCAAACCAGTAAGGGCCAAAGCACCCGCCAGCCCTCCTTTCTCTCTCTACTTGGACGGACCCATGTTACGCAATAATACACACAAGTTGCTCCATGCCTACCACGTGACAACGCCCCCGCCCACGACTAATCCCAGCCAATCAGAATGCTTCACACCAGCGGCCACGCTCCAACCCCACTGCCGCACGCGGAGGGATCTTGCCTGCCTGACTTGTTTTTTTTTCGCCCAGCATGGCCAATGCGGCTGCGCACCGGGTCCTGATTGGCCGAGAGCTACGGGGCTGCGCACGCAGACCCTGCCTCAGTTACTAAGGGCGGGAGCCCGGCGGCGGCGCCGGGGAGCCGTGTAGTCCCGGGTCCGTCGAAGCCTGGCCCCACTCGCCATGCCAAACCGCAAGGCCAGCAGGAATGCCTACTACTTCTTCGTGCAGGAGAAGATCCCCGAGCTGCGGCGGAGGGGCCTGCCTGTAGCTAGGGTGGCGGATGCCGTCCCTTACTGCTCTGCCGATTGGGCGGTAAGGCTTGTGTCAGCGGGCCGGGCAGTTGGGAATTGGGAGGGCGAGGCGGAAGGGACAGCGACCCCGTGGGCCCTGCCGGGGTGGTGGGGGAGCCCCTTGTGCCCGGTCCGGGGCAGACCGATGCCTGAACCCCAGCCCGCGATATCCAGGCGTCCGCCTACGGGCCAGGACTGCCGGGATTCACCGCCGCTTCTCTCCGTGTCTCTCCTGCCGTGTCCCCAAGCTCCTGGGTCAGGATGAAAAGGAGAAATACGCAGACATGGCTCGAGCATGGAGGGCCGCCCAGGGAAAGGAGTCTGGACCTGGGGAGCAGCAGGTAAAGGTCGCCGGGGAGGAGCAGCCACCTGCCTGGCGCCTGGGCACGTTCGGCAGGTGTCAGATGGGCGAGTGGGCAAGTCAGGGCGGCCCGCCCAGCGGGCGGGTTGGTTAGTGCAAAGCCGGTTTTCGTTTTCCTCTCTGGTATCGGGAGGCCTGCCTGTCACTAACCCAGCGGGCGCCTGAACTGGGGCACACGCTGGTATCATTTGGCGGCGAAGGCCGGGAGATCCCCTTGGGGGACCCGCGCCCAGTGGGTGAACTCTGACCGGCAGCGGGTGTGGTGGCCTTTGGGCCCTGTACCAGTGGACCTCCAAGCATGCCTTTCAACTCTTTATGATGAAAGAATCTTTTTTCCCCTGGTGTTTGAAAGTAGTTCGGACCAGTCTGTCTTTTTAAACGACATCAGGAGCCAGGCCCCTGCTTTGTTTAAAATACTGACATAACAAGACTCGCAGATGTTGGCAAATATGTATCTTACAGGTAAATGTTCAGTTAAGTGTATTTGGGGGGATTTTTGTGTAGGTAGAACACAAAAATACTAAATAAGACTGGCCTTCTTGATTTGTGTCAAGAAAGTGCAGAGTAATTGCATTTCCCCCCTCCTGGGTTCTTTCCGTTCTTACATACTGAAATTCCATTTTCCCTTCCAACTGCCAGCATGGATTGAAATTCTAGAGAGGTTCACTTGTTTTGAGAGATTTTTATTGTGAGCCTTTGTTTGAGTAGAAGCTCTAATCAATTTAATTTGTACTTTTTTTATACTTGTGAGCCTAGGTATTTTTCCTCCCTCTTACAATTTGTTCTCTTGCCCTTTGAAAAGTAAACCCCGTTGGCCCTGCACCTCACTGCCACTCACGGTTGGCTTGATCTGGTTTTCGCTTCCATTGAAAAGCAGATGGTTAGAGACTTCGCAGATGGTGTTCTCTTGACCACTGGGCTGGCACGTGCTGTTGACTCGGTAGAATTCGGCAACGTGGTATTTGTTATTTACCACTCCCCTGCGGTTCAGGGTATTGCGAGATTTTGCGTCATCTGCCCTTGCCGTCACTGTTGTCCACAAATGGGTACTCAGTGGGTTCTTTGGCCTGGAGATGTTACTGAAGTAGCCTTTGTGCTGCTTTGCTAAACTTAAGTGTGTGGGGTAAAGAGCTCAGCAAAAATGTGCGTGGCGGTTCCTTCTCTTCCCCTTTAGAAACCTGTTTGCACGCCGCTGCAGAAGCCAGGCCCACAGGCACCGAAGCCGAGTGTTTCACCCCCGGATGTGTCAGGCTTGTCTCTGAAGAGTGATCAAGGTAGAGTCGCCCTAACGCATTTGCTCGGGTACATCTGGGGGCTCGAGACACTGGGCTGTGTTGAACAATAAGTATGTGGTCTGAGTGTTTTGACCCACTGTCTTGATCCATTACCCAAAGTAATTGATGACACGTGTCGAAGTGCAGTGTCAGAGTCGTAACAGGTCAGGCCATTCGCTTTTGGAAAGTATCAGCCCTGGAGAGTATTTTTGAACAAAAATCTGTTCTGTTGGTTTCTACCACTTTGTGTGTTATTAAACATGCTTTATGGATCCAAGTGTTTATAACTAGGTCCTTAAACAGGTAGAGACCTAAGTACATTTAAGTTATGAAGGTAAAGATGAATTTTCTGCTTCGGCCCAGAAAAGAACAGAGCTGATAAGAGCCATTGCTCTTCCTCTGGCTGTTTGTTAATTGTGGTCTGACCTTAGGGAAGATCAATAAACTCTTAACAGTCTTAAATTTGGCCAGTCCTGATAAACAAGGCCCTTCTCACATTTCTTTTCCTTAAGATAATTTATATACAGTCTCAGGTGTGTTGGTAAAAAGTAAAGGGTGAGCTAAATTGTCTGTACTTTATGTCCCAGAGGTTTTCTACACGATTCTGCTGGACTTTGTCTCCTGACCCTTTTATTTGTCGGCCCTGGGTCTCAGCTTTCCTCACTGCGTCCCTGAGATTCAGGGAGTGTGTTCGGCTAGCCTACGTAGAGTGGGCTGCAAGTCTGAATGACTTTGTCGATTCTGCAAAGAGCGGTCACTGCTTTAATCCTTGGTGGGTGTGACTGGAAAACTTTCGATTCCTTCGCTGCATACAGCGGATTGGTCCTCTCTTTTCCAGCTCCTTGCAGAATGTGGGACCCAGGGAAAATGCTTCTAAAGGATTTGCTCTTGGAGAAGGGGTGACAACTCACCTGCTCATGTTGTGTTGTGATTTTTTTTTAGCTCTCCTTGGAGGTGTCTTTTATTTTTTGAACATTTTCAGCCACGGCGAGCTGCCCCCGCACTGCACGCAGCGCTTCCTGCCCTGCGAGATCGGCTGCGTGAGGTACTCCCTGCAGGAGGGCATCATGGCCGACTTCCACAGCTTCATCAAGCCCGGTGAGGGCCTGCGGGCGTTAGCATGGCCACCTCAGCAGGGCCGTGTGTTTTTTCAGAGCTGATGCTCCGCTGAGTTCTGGAGGCTTCTCGGTGCTTTGGTGAAAACTGCTGAGAACTTGGCGATGCCTTGGGGCTCCGGCTCCTGACCCCCAGTGAGCCTGTGCCCTGGGTGGGGAGTGCGGCCTGGCCTCGCAGTCCGGTGTGTGCCTGCCCCCTGGCTGCCCCACTGGAGTTTTCTAAAAGCTGCTTCTGCTGGGCTCTGCTCAGGGGTGTTCTCACCCTGTCCCCCCCTCGGCCGTCCCGTGTTTTTAAGTGGCCATTGCTCCGGAACAAGCCCAAGCAGGGTGCCAAACCCTCCAACCTGTCTTCGCGCTGCCCCACTCACCACCAGCAGCTCGTGACAACAGCCTGGGGTGTGGGTTGGTTCCCATGAGGACGGACGGGGTGCAAGGAACACAGGAACTGCAGTGGAAGTGGGGACCCACCAGTGTGTGGAGAGGAGTAAAGGACGAGAGGTTGGGGGCAGAAGAGCGGCTCCGGTTTTGTCCGTTGCTTCACGGCTCCTAGAGACGGCCCGCGGGCTTCCTTGTCTCCATGGGTGGAGCGCCCGCCCTGCGCACACCGGGAGGGCTGTGGCTTAGGACGAGCCCAGGAGCCACTCATCCTGCGTGGGTGTGAGGCTTAGAGAGACCTCTGCTGCAGACCTGGCTCTGTGGGGACCGCAGACCCCAGGGGCCCGTGCCCGGACCCTGAGCAGGGACCCCTCTAGCTCAGAGGTTCTTCACCCAGCATTCCTTTTTCTGCAGCAGTAACTTCCCTTTAAAGTAGCTTAGACAGCACACTAAAGTCTTTGATAGTCACCGTACCGTTGGTTAAAACGTGCTATGAAAGAGGGTCGATAGCGTGTACTTCCATGTGGTGGTAACGACGACCCGCCTGTCCCAACACGGTCGTCCTGGGGGGTGTTGCTGCTGAGGGGTGACCAGGGGGCTGCCAGGGCTCTGCTTCTCTCAACCAAGCGTTTTGTGTTGCAGGGGACATTCCACGAGGGTTTCGCTTCCATTGTCAGGCTGCAAGTAAGTATCCAGGTGCTGGGCACTAAGTGTGTGTGTGACCGGCCAGGACGCTGCTTCAACCAGGCGCACGGGTGTCTGCTGAAAACCGGCCCTGAGTTCCTTGTTGCAGACTCTTTGTAGAGGTGGTGGATTGTGTGTGGGATCCCTAAAACCTTCCAAATTGTGCAGACTTGGGGCCCGCGCCCCATTTCCTTCACGCCTCCTTTGGCTTCGAGATCGGAGCTTCTGCTGGCCAGGTGCACAGGTGAGTCTTCTAAGAGGTATCAGGTCATCTGGATTTAGGGCGGTTTACAGGGTGTCCTTTCAGAATTCAGAAAAAAAAGATGATGCTCCAAAATGACAGTTTAAACATTTAAGGAAGCTCTGAATTAATTTTTAGGTGAGGAAAATGTGCTTTCATTTTTAGTGTTTTGCAACCAAAGGACATGATTATGTATACCTAAGCTCTTGAACTAAAGTCTTTTATAGAAACTGGATTTTAACCAGCTTCCTGTTCGATTGGAACGAAGATCACGGTTAACAGGTGCATTTTCAGATTCACGTTGGAAAGTGTGACTAACAGTACCTTCCCCTAACCATGGTGACACCTGGGTGTCAAAGTGTTTGAAGTAGGAAATACGTGTTTCAGGCCTGCTGTGACTGACCGGGATGCTTCAGTGCGTTCTGGTTCACGTTGGTCCTGCCTTTGAAGTTTCCATGCTCTGTGCGATACAGATGCCAGGCAGCAAGCCGTTGGCAGAGCAGGGTGTGGTGCGGGCGGGGCCCCTCCAGGAGAGTGAGGTGGTTCTTCGGTGAGTACGGCCCAGACGCCTCCGTGTACAAGTCAATTCCAGGTGGAAGAAGAATTTGGTTATTAAAACTCCAGTAGAAAATAAAGACTCTTCACGACCGACCACATTCCCATTAAAGACTGAGATCGGTTAGCCTGGCCTGTTTCGTTGTTAAAACACATTTTGTTTTCAGTCTTTGGACTCACACTTGGTTCTTTTCTAATAGTTCTGAAATTTACTCATTTCCTTGAACAGACCAACCCTTGGTGTTTTGGTGTCTTACGTTTGGTAACCCAGGTGGAGGGTGTCTTTCTGGCTCTGTCGTTACAGGCGACCGGTTGTCTTGAGTCCAGTCAGGTTTCTGGGCATCTTTGTGCACCTGGCTGGTTTTCACTGAGTGCTAAGCACGTGTGTGAAGTTGTGCCCCCCCTGCCCAGGGAAGACATCGCTCCGGGCGCAGCGGGGCTCTCTGGGCCGCTGCTCCGATTTCAGGAGAATACGGTGCAGGCCTGATGGAGGTCAGGCTGCTGCTGGTTGAGCTTAAGTTTAAACGGGGGGGAAGCTGGACAGATGACCACCAGAATATCATTAGCAAAATTTCTAATTGACTTCCCAGCATAAACAATGGGAGCCAGAAGACAACTGAGCATTTTTATCACAAATATTTTATATACACAATAGTCCTGGAGTATTGTTTTTAATTCTTACTGGCTCTTAGTCTCCTCCTCGAGAATTGGTAAATGCCCAGATTTCCGATGAGCCCAAACACCAGGTTCAGCCCAGGGTCCCTTCCTCTGAGACTCCAGCCCCGTCTGTGCACCGTGCTCCTCCCGCCCTGCTGTGCGCACACGCGGGTGCCGGGTGGCACGGCTTCCCCCTCATCTGCTGTCATCTGAGGCCAAACTCTTCCTGCGTCGCTTTTCGTAGTTCAGTTTTACACTGAAATTTGTAATCTGATCTTAGATGCAGATGTGATTGTTTAAAGTCTGTCCAGTACCTTCAGTATGTGGAACATTATTTTTGGATCAGTTCTCTCTGCTCTGGTTCCCATTCTCGTTTGTTTTGCACTTGCTTATTCACGTGGAGCGTTGAAAAAAATTACCTTAAAGCGACTTGAGGTTTACAGTGATGGTTCTTTCTTCTCATTGGTTGGTGCTCGCAGGTGTCCTGACTAGGGATTGGACGGTGCTCTCACCAGATCAGCTGCCCAGCCAGGACACCTTGTCCCCTCTTTTCACAGAGGGGACACCCGAGCCCAGCTCACACGCTGGGCCCCCGGTGCTGTAAAAGCCCACCTCTCACCCCGTCGCCTTCCTCTTCCAGAACTGGCACGTGACCCCAGGGAACAGGTGCCCCCAGGCCAGGCCTTGCTCTCTGGACTTTATATTCACCTTCGCTTTCAGCTAACGATTCCCGGTTACGCTGTGTTCTCTCCATACCCCTAGGCATTTTACGTTTTGGGGATAAGTGGGTCTGAACTAGCTGGTCCGTGTTTTGCTGGAAGTGGAAATATTAAAACATTTAAAAGCTGTCGTCGTTGCTGAGTTCTCCGGCCTCACTAACAAAACAGACGCGTGAAAGGCAGCATGGAAACAGCGAGGGCGCCGCAGGCTCGGCCGCACGAGCCTGGGTTTCAGTCCCGACTCCTCCGTTCGCCAGCTGTTGACCTGCGACAGCCGACCCCTTACCCTCAGGGAGTCCATTCCCCGCCCCCGTGGGTGCCGGGACTGCGGGGGTGCTGAATCCTGCGGGTCCCGTGCTTTCTCCGGTCCGGACAGACCGTGCCGAAGCGTGATGCGTCCGGCAGGCACAGGCGGGAGAGGAAACGGCGGTGACGGCGGAGCAGGGCCACCTCGGCAGCTCCTGCTGCTGCGTGAGAACGGGCTCCTCTCAGACCTGCTCCTGCGCTGCCCGCCCTGTGTGGTCTCTGCAGTTCCCCTTTCTCCACAGTTTCATGGGCAGGAGATCGGTTCTCACGATCTTGGTGGCCTCAGCGTGCAGTTTTTCTTACCGAGTCAGGGACTTGCACCTTTTCACTTAAAGGAAGCACCTCTGGCTTCTGTGTGGCAGATCTGAATCGCCGGCATCGCTGCTCTCGTACTTGGGGTCGTGCAGGCAGAATGAGGGTGACTGGCACACCAGCACTGTGGCGCTGGGACAGCGGGTCTGGTCACTTACACTACGGAGTGACCGTGGGGCCGTTCATGTGCACAGCAGGCATACGCCGGGCAAGGGGTGTTTTGTGTTTCGGTCCTCGTGGGACGGAGGGGGCACTAAGGTGTCGTCATGCGACCCGGGGCCGTGCTCCGCCTCAGACCCCCGGACTGAGTGCGGGGGTGGCCCGCTCAGTGCAGTCAGCCCGCAAGCAGGTAACGAGCCGCGGCAGCAGCCCCAGGTGGGGGACTGCCGCAGCTGCAGGCGACCGCATCCTGTGCCCCACGCCTGTCCCTGCTCCCCGATGCTGGGCTTGGTCAGATTTTGAACCCCAGCCTTCTCTTCAACTCCTTCAGGCGACTCCAGTCACAAGATCCCTATTTCGAACTTCGAGCACGGGTGCGACCAAGCGACTGTGCTACAGAACCTCCACCGGTTCATCCACCCGCACCCGGGCAGCTGGCCACCTGTCTACTGCAAGGTAAGCACCCGTCAGTGTCCGTTCGGGTGTCCGCTCAGATCAGAGGACCCACGGCAGTGCCCAGGGAGCGCGCTGGGCCTGTGCGCCAGCCGTGCGTGTCGTGCAGGTCCTTCACCGCCAGCTGTTCGAAGGTGATTCCTCCCGAAGGCCTCGGGGACCGGTGCGAGCTTCTGCTCTGGCAGACCTCGGTTTTTAGCGCCTCCTCCTGGGTCACCTTCAGGGTCCCTTCCCCCGGACACAGGGTGCTCTCTGTCCCTGCTCCTCTCGACAAGACCGCTCTGCTCACAACTGCCCCGCAGCCCTCCCTCGGCGCCCTCCCTGGTCTTCAGAGTTTCCTTCTTTCTGTTCCTCTGACCCTCGGCCAGGAGCTCGGGGACTGGGTTTAGCCTCACTGTTTGTTACCGTGATGGGTTCCCTCACCTCCTTCTGAACAGTGATTCATTATTTTTCTGCCCGACTCCCACTCGCCTCTCACGAAGTGTGCTCACGCCGTCTGTGGACACGCCCGTTGTTAACGGCGGCAGTCCTCTCTGGCACGTGTTGCTCTTCCCGTCACCACAGCTCTTGTCCGGTTGTCACGGCCTCTGCAGCCTCTCCCTCCCCAGCACCCACTGCCCCCTGCCCCACCCGCCCAGCCCCAACCCGAGGGGACCGCGGCAGTCAGAGTGGCTCCGGGCGGGAGAAGGTACAGATGCCCATCTCTCCCCGCAGTCCGACGACAGAGCCCGCGTCACCTGGTGTCTGAAGCACATGGAGAGGGGCTTAGGTGAGTGGACGGCCCGCCCTGGGGCTGCGGGCCCGCCCGCGCTCCCCCACACACGCGTCTGACCGTGTCTGTCCGTGTCTGTGTCCCCTGTGCCGACAAAAGAAACCAGGCAGGACCTGGAGCTGCTCACCGTCGAGGACCTCGTGGTGGGGATCTACCAGCAGAAGTTCCTCAAGGAGCCGTCCAAGACCTGGGTGCGCAGCCTGCTGGACGTGGCCATGTGGGACTACTCGAGCAACACGAGGTGCCCGCGGGGCGGGTGGGCCGTGGGGCGGGTGGGCCGCCGGCCTGGGAGAGGGCTGGGGGGGGGCGGGGGGGCACTCTCCGCGCCTCTGGGCCTGATCTTCCCGCGAGGCCCTGGAGTCCTTGCGTTTCCCCGAGGGGAAGATCCCGCTGATTCTGACGGGTGGACACGAGGCCACTCTCACCCACTAGAGACCGTGACCAGTGAGACTGCCATGGCGCGCTGTCCCCTGGAGCTTCCCTACTGGTGGGAGAGTGTACTTGTTTGGGTGTTTCGTCACCAGAGTTCTTGCATCCACACGTGGAAGTGAGATAAATCGGCAGCAGTGTTGTTGGTTTGAGTACCGTCAGGCCTAGAGCTGCGGGAGCAGCGCGGAGAAGCGCTGCAGGCCCTCTTCTCGGCTCACTGACTGCGAGCGCCGGTACCTTCCTTTGTAGGTCTCCCCGGAGGCTCGGGGCCGCCGGAGGGCGGGTGCCGGCAGGTCTCTGTCCCCTGTCCCCTGCCTGTTGCACTGGTGTCTGTAGGAGCGGGGGCACGTCCACGGCACACAGCAGGGCGCGGCCCCGGGTGCAGTGCTGTGTGCAGCCTGAAGGCCACGCTCAGGTTGTGCCGATTGTTCCAGTGGCGCCTTTTATAGTAACAAAAACCCCTAGGGGTTGACCCAGGCCACACGTCACGTGCGGTCATCACGTCTCTTTGGGCGCCTCCAACCTGCGACAGCCCCTCGTGCACTTTTGGGACCTGGCATTTGGGCCACAGGCCGGCCCGGTCCCTGCACCAGTCGCTTTCCTGGTGCAATGGTGACGCAGTGGAGGCTGTGTGTGTGTGTGTGTATGTGTGCGCACACGTGCGTGTGTGAGAGGGGCAGCGCAGAGTGCCGTGCGTTCTCACCGTGCCGCCCTGGAGGCCTTTGCCCGCTTACTGATGTGGCTTCGGTCACTGTGGAAGGCAGTGGCCGCCAGGTTTCCCCTGGGAAGTGCAGGGTTTTCACCTTGTGAGGTGCTTGGGAGAGGCTTTGACACGCGTTCCCAGCGCCGAGTCTGCCAGCTTCAGGTCCGTTGGTGGTTTTGTGCGAGTCCGTTAGGACCGCTCGTGGTGTTCCCTGGCCCCGTCGTTCCCGTCTCCTGGTGCTCCTTCCGCCCGCGATTTTGTTTTGTGAACATGGACTCACGGATGCCTCTTCCATCCGTGGGCTGTCACGCCACCGTCAGCCGACGTCACGGCCGGTGGGCATCCCTCCAAAGCAGTGGTTTCCGTGTCCTTTGGCCATCGCCTCGTCATCCTTTGCGCTTCTTCCCTTCTGGCCCGCGGGGTCCCGGCTCACACGTCACTTGCTGCGCCGTGGCTGTGGGTTGGCCGCTGCTCCAGGAGCCCCAGGGCTGCAGGGGAGGTCGGTGCATGGGCTGCGGGCGCAGGCGTGCTCACTCCTGCAGGGGCGTCACCAGCCTGGGCGTGCGCGCACCCTCTGCACCGTCTCTCTCCCCTGGAGCCTAGACCCGGCCTGCAGGTCCATCCCGCCACCCCGGGGGTCTCTGGGTTCCCCCTTCCCATTTCTGTGTGTCCCATCTCCGAGCGAGAGGCCTGGCGCTCAGGGTCTCTTCGTGTTTGCTCAGTCCTGGGACAAGCCGGAGGTCGTTTCCGGAGAGCTGAGTGACCGTTGTGAAGAGGCTCAGGACCAGCAGGACGGTTCCTTCGTTTCTGAGGCTGAAGGTGGAACGTCAGAGTAGATTGCTCAGGAGGCACTCGGGTCAGGTGTTCTCCCTTCAGAGCGGTCGAATCACTCTCTGGAAATAGAGTTAAGTCCATGTGCCGGTTGTATTCCATTTTTGTTTTCTCCCACTCTGGGCTTTGTCATTTGACAGTGAGCGCGTTAACAGGGTTCAAACAACCAAGTGTCCTGAGAGCCCCTGGGTCTCGTGTCGCGTGCGAACGGCCTCGGGGAGAACCGGCATCTCTGCAAAGCTGCGTTCTCTCCGGAGAACATGAGCTGTCTTTTCGGCCAGTGTTTGTTCAAGTCTGCTTCTGTGTCTTTCGAGTCTGTTTAAATGTTTTCCCGCCAGGCCACGCATCCTGGGACCGGTGAGCTGGCGTGGGCGGGCGCCCGCGTCCTCCAGGGAGAGTGGCTCTGTGGGGTGTTCTGGCTCAAGGGAGTCACCGTTGGCACGTGCACCCCCTCAGGAAGTCAGACCTTTTACATAGCTTTCCAGGATTATTTGATAGACTCCTACAATTGCTAAAATTTCCTTTGTTTTCATGGTTCTCTCTTGTTTCCTGGTACTAACGCTTCTCATTTTTTCTTCAACCAGGCTAGTTCTGGGCGTTATTTGCTTGGTTAATTTTTTCTAAAATAACAGATTTTAACCTATTAGATCTGTTTTTTCCACTCTTTCATTAATTTTGGTTTTAACTTATTTTCTTTGTACTTCAGTTCTTTTTCTAGTTTTTTCAGGCTCAGAATTTAATATTTTATTTATTTATTTTTCGAGAGAGGGGAAGGGAAGGAGAGGGAAAGGGAAGGAGAAAGAGTGGGAGAGAAATATCAATGTGTGGTTGCCTCTCATGTGTCCCCTGCCGGGAACTGGCCTGCAACCCAGGCATGTGCCCTGACTGGGAATCGAACTGCAATTCTCTGGTTCGCAGGCCCGCGCTCAATCCACTGAGCTACACCAGCCAGGGCCGTGTGGGTGCAGGAGAGCGTAGGTTAGTTCTGTTCCAGCCCATGGCTTCCTTTTAGGGTTTCATGAATCACGTTTGCGAAACCCTTTTCTGGAGAGGCAGTGGGAAGTTCCTTCCTTTATTTCTAGGCAGCCTTCCCTTCGGTGAGACAGCTTCCGCTGGGTGCGGAGCAGGCTTGCCGCGCCGGGTGGGCCAGCTGCCTGGGACGGGACGGGAGCTGCCTGCCGTGTCCACGCAGGCCTGGTGCGGACCGTGCGGCCGGGGCACAGACCGCACGGGCTGTGTCGTGAGCGCCCATCTCGGGCCCTCCCCGTGCAGCGCGCCCTCCTCGGCCGTACCTCTCCCGCCGCCTGAGCGCACGGTCAACCTGCCCGGCGTTTCGGAGCGTCGTTCCTTTGTGTTCTTTCTTCTGAACTGACTGGTCAGGAACTGACAGTCTGTTACAGTGGCCCGCGTTTCTTTGGTGTTCCCCGCTACACAGTTTTGTGTGGGTTCGATGTGCTGTGCCCCTGGTGCCCGGGACAGTGCCTGGCGACCGGTGCACCCGCAGCCCGTGTTGGTGGAGGGAGGGCTTGGGGACCTCGGTCGCTAGCATGTGTCCCAGACACTCCTTCTAGCTCAAGGTAAAGCTGACCCGTTACGGTGTTGTGGGGCTTGCGTAGCGTCACGAATTCACACCCGAGGAGGTAACATAAAAAAGTCTGCATTTCGTGTGTTAGATGAGAAACTTGTGTGTTTAAATAGTCATGTCAGGTTTTCTTAAACGATCTCGTTGAGGCAAAGTAGAAGTTGGGCGCGTGGAGAACCGTGAGGGTGCTTCCGAATGGGCCTGACGCTCATGTCCTCTCTCTGGCAGGTGCAAGTGGCACGAGGAGAATGACATCCTGTTCTGTGCGCTGGCCGTGTGCAAGAAGGTCGCGTAAGTCACCCGGAGGCACTGCGGTCGGGTCCTGCGCTCGCGGTGCGGACGGTCGGGGTAGCTCAGGGTCACCTCTGTCCCCACAGTTCTGTTTCAGAACCAGGCGGGTTTTTCCCACCACTGCTTCGTCACCCCCCCCCACCCCCGGGTCCGGTTCAGGGCGCTGCAGAGGCACGCGCGGCGCTCACCCCAGGCTGCTGCAGGCGACTGCTGCTGTCACCAGGGCCAGCCCTTCCCCAGAGGCGCCGGGAGCACGTGGCCTCTTTCCCTTGTTCTGCGGCAGAGGCTCCTGGACCCCACTCTCCGGGTGCTCGGGGGTCCCTCCCACGCTGTCACCATGGGGCATGAGGACAGACCCGTGTCCCAAACTGTAGCCTTGTTACCGGTGCTGCCTCCTCCCAGCCCCCGACTCAGGAGAGTCCTGCCACCTCCGTCCTCGCTCGTGTTCCCTTCCGACGAGGCCGACGTTCTGCCTGGTGGTCAGAGTGCTGGGGGCAGAGGTGCGAGACGGTTTCGACGTGGCCCTCCCAGCGGCGGCCAGTCCCTGTGCCGCTGGCGTTCCGTGCTCCCCAGAGCCTCTGCCAGCCTGGTTTCCCAGTTCAGTGTGCTGTGTTCCCCGTCCTTTGGTGCTAGAAACTGTCAGGGCCAAGTCCATGACCAGCCTGTCCCTGCCCGCGGCAGGTACTGCATCAGCAACTCTCTGGCCACGCTCTTCGGCATCCGGCTCACCGCGGCCCACGTGCCGCTGCAGGACTACGAGGCCAGCAGCAGGGTGACGCCCAAGATGGTCATCCTGGACGCCGGGCGGTACCAGGTGAGGGGGCTCACGGGGGCTGCCCTGGGTGGTCAGGCCTTGGACGCGGTTTCCCAGAGCGCCAGGGAGCGTCCGGCGGTTCGTAACCCCAGGTGGGTCTTGCGTGAAACCCTTTCCCTTCCTAGTGTGTTTTCCTGCTCTCGTTAACAAAGTGTTAAATTAAAATTGGCCATGTTTTTATACAAAACACATCCAAACATTTCCAAGAATTAAGTATCTGGAGTACACAGTACAGCTTTTAAACATGTGCAGAGATGCGTGACGCTGGATTCAGGGGGTGACTGAAAGCTCACCTCCCTGCCGACCGCCCCCCCCCCCCGCAGCTGGCCGCTGTGCCGGGGTGCCCTCACCCCACCCCCCCGTCAGGAGTGCAGGCAGGGCTCCTGGGGGTCCCCCAGGGCTTTGCTTCATCCAGGCTGGAGTCGCCTCCCCAGCCTCCCTCGTCACGAGTTGGTCAGGTGCTGAAAAGCAGCAATTTGAAATTGGAGCCGATGGTCCAGTAAGAAACAAACATTTCTTCCCGTTTTTTTTTTCCTGTTTTTATAGAAGCTAAGGTGCAAAAATCCAGGATTCTCTCATTTCAACTCTTCTCACCAGGAGCCGAGAGCACACTCGGCCACTGGTAAGCAGCCCCGTGCTGTGCAGACGCGCATCCAAGGGTCCGGGCTCCCGGCTCCCCACCCAGCGAGGCCCCGGGTGCTGCCGGCGCCCAACGGAGGCTCGGCATCAACCGAGGGAGCTCAGGATCTGGTTGAGTTGGGAGTTTTATTTGCTATCAGTATCCCAACAATATGTACGTTTTTTATGTCACTTTGGTCGTTTAACTCGTTCAGAGGCGTTCAGGGCATTGAAAAGGAAGCCTGTCCCTCCGGGGCGGCCGTTCACTAGTCCTGATACGACGATGCCGGGGGAGATGGGACTTGAAGGCCCAGGGACGTGAAACCCGCTGGTGCCCCAAGAACTCAGTTATGGTTTCCAGGGCTGACGACAAACAGCAGTGCCTCGTCGGCCCCGGCCGTGACGCGCGGTCCTGTCTGGGGCGCAGGCCCGGGGCAGGCCCGTGCCGGAGTCCCAGCCTGCGCGCCCACCGAGGGGTCGCTCTGTGATGAGACTACAAAGGAGCGGCTTTTCTCTGCCCACCTTCCCCGTGTCCCAGGTGACCGCCCTGCTGGGGTGAAGATGGCGGGCCCCGGCAGCCGCACGCGGGGGAGAGGGATCACACGCCTGCTGGAGAGCGTCTCCGGCCCCGCGCCCCGGTTCTCCGGCTGCGAGGCTGCCCTCTCCCCTCCCGTGGCCCCGAAGGAGGGGTACAGCCCTTTCCCACCCCTGTCCCAGTGATGACGCTTCCTCAGTTTCTGCAAAAACAACAAGCCCAGCTGCCCTTCCGACTGCGGTCTGCTGGCCAGCGGGTCGCGGGGGCGGCAGGCGCCGCTGCCCTGAGCACTGGTCCACCCCTGAGGGAAGCCGCTGGGCTGGAGGGGCCTTGGGTGCGGTTTGCTCCTTTCCCGGGCTGTGTCCCCTGCCCGACTGCGTCACGGAAGTGCCTTTGCAGCTTTGAGTCCCGCAAGAACAAAACCGGCATTTCCAGAGTGTGCTTTTGGGGATTTTGTGTTTTTATCCGCTTTCCTCACAATAAAGGTATCGAGTATCTGTTATGAAAGGTTTCAAATAGCCTTAATGTGTCTTTTCCCATCACGACGTGTAGAACCTTGCTCTCGAGACCTGCTGGCTGTTTTCATTGCAAATATCTAAGAAAATTAGCCTTTAAAAAACAAAGTTTTGTTACTTAAAATCTTTGAAATGTGCTGACTTTGGCAGAGTCATTGGGAAGGTGGGAGCTGCAGTGGGATTAGGTAACACCCCCTCCCCCGCCCCTGTCACATGGCCAGGTGGGGACCTGGTTCCAGCGGCCCGACTGGAGTTGCTCCCACACACCAGGCCAAGGACACACTGAGCCTAGTGGCTACCCTGCTGGTGGTTGGTGGCACTGGCCCATGTCCTCTGCCTGGGCTGGTCTGTAACCCTCTAGCTTGGACCATGGCCAAGACCACGCATGGCAGTGGCTGTGGTGGCTGTGGCAGACTGCACTCAAGTTCAGGTCTGCTGGACTCCGACTCCTGATTACAGGGAGTCACTCAGGGTCTGCTGTGGGGTGCGGGCCCCCCTGCCCACCATCTTCCCTGTTACTGGCCGCCGAGTGCCTAGTCGTGCACAGGTGTGTCATCCTGTGGGGTCCCTGTCACCCCTCCACTTCACATGCAGATACACACACATGACTCAGGGCCATGGGTCACAGAGCATCTCTGTGGGGCCGGGAGCCCGGCCGACTCTGCAGACCGTGCTCGCTCACCTGCCACCCGGTCTTCCACCTCTGCCTCCTGTGTTTCCGACGTCTGACCTTCAAAGGAGGACATTTACAGGATATAAGTTTGTGTGTCGCATTCCTGTTGCATGTTTTGTAAAACACTCTGAGCTTCAGACTCTGCGGGACAGTGACCAGGCCGGTGGGAGGCGGACGGGGGGAGGCCCGAGCCCAGAACCCCGGCCGGCAGCCTCAGGGGCCCGTGCGTGCGCCGCCCAGACTGAGCCCTTGTGCGTGTCGCCCGCTGCTGTTCACAGGGCTGCGCGGTGCGTGTGCGGTTCATCATGTCGGACTGTGGTGATTGGAAGTGTTCGGGGAAAATGCAGTTAGGCGTTTGTTTGGTTCCTGGTTACACCAGGGATTTTTTTCTTTTGTGCACTTCGAGTAACAGTTTCAGAAAGTGCAACGTAAACAGTAATGGGGCTTCAGGAGAAATGGCGGGTCTGCCGTCAGGGTGAACGATCTCCCAGGGTGAACAAGTCGAGTGTTGTAACACCGAGTGCCCAGGCCACCGGGAGGCCCCGGTCAGCACCCCTGAACCGACAGTGTGCGCACTGCCTTCGTTTCAGACACACGTGGAGTTTTCTTACAACGGTAACCTCAGTAAATGGCAGGGTGTGAACGAGTTGTGTGTTTTCTCTGCCGTTCAGTTATTTAAGAATAGTTTTCTAAACCCCATGTATGTAGAAGTCACAGTGGAGTCCCACACCAACTTGTAACTAGATGATGGTGGAAGTTTGCAGAGCAACCGAACGGGAAGTTGTGGGTAGCCTGTTAGGACTTCCGAGAGGGGGAGTATGAAAAGGGGCTGAAAACAAAGCACCAAATGGGCATTGCAGAACGTTAGAAAAACAGCAGAGGTCAACATACCACTGCCAATGATAACAACTTCTAGGAGCAAGAACAATAAACCGTGGAGGACGGGAGGGAAGACAGGGTCCAGTGCCCGGTGGGGCGAAGGCAGGGGCCACGGCCTGCGTCTCTTCCCCCGTGAAAACATCTAAAAAGGGCGAGGAAGGAGAATAAGGAGCAAGTACCATCAAAACAGGACGAATGTGACACCTGACAAAGCCCATGGGCTCTTGGAAAAGACTGGCCCTGGCTGGTGTAGCTTAGTGGGTTGAGCGAGGGCCTGTGAACCAGAGGATTGCAGTTTGATTCCCAGTCAGGGCATGTGCCTGGGTTGCAGGCCAGTCCCCAGCAGGGGACACATGAGAGGCAACCACACATTGACGTTTCTCTCTCTCTCTCCTTCCCTTCCCCTCTAAAGATAAATAAATAAAATCTTTAAAAAAAGTGAAAAACGTGAAAAACAATAAAGACCTGAAGAGGCAACTAATCAACTTTTCTCTCCCTCTCTTTCTCCTCCCTTCCCCTCTCTCTAAAAATAAAATCGTTTTGTAAAAATCCAAGTTTCTATGGGACTTCACAAGCTATCCTAGGAAGAATTAAGTCATAGAAAAGCCAGCACAGGCCTCTGGGGACTTGCCCCCCCTCCACGAGATCTTCAGTGTATTTTAAAACCTACAAAGGATAGTTAAGATTGTGAGATTTCAAAGTAAGGACAGACAGATTAACGAATGGGACAATCCACTTACAGAACTTCAGTGGATAACAGGTGACATTTCAGACCCATGGGACCGTCTAGAAAATTGTGCAGGACAAATTATAAATGCATGAAGCGGAGGGGAATTGACATTGGACCCCGTCCCCACCATATTCACCAAGAGCCCCCACTTGGCTTAAGGATGTAAATGTGGAAAAGGAAGCTGTTTAAAATTTTTACGAGAAAATGTCTATCTCTCAGTTCATAAGGATTTTTTCAACACTTAGCACGGGAAGAGCTCACTGTCGAACTTGGGCCCTGTGTGATCACATTAATTTCAGAACTCGTGTTCGCTCAGAAGTGAAAAGAGAATGCAGAGAAGGTGAAAAAATGAGGCTCAGACCCGAAACTCGAAGCCCAGAATCAGGAGGCGGGCGCCTCTGGGAGATGGGAGGGAGAAGAGAGGAATCTCTGTGTCCGATATTATAATTACGGGAACGTGACAAGCAAATGGAAATCGAGGCTTTTGGGAAAACCAAGCGATAAATAGTGAAATAAAGTTTCTTTAGCTCAGATTCTGTCTTAATCTTGCTTGAAGTTCCTACCAGTTGCCGTGGGAAGGGCTGGTGCCAAGGAATTCCTGAGGCGCTCCTGTACTTCCGAAAAAGGCGGGAGCCTCCTGAGAGCTGGGCGGGTGAAACAGGTGCTGAGCGGACCCCTCCTGGCGTCACTGAGCTTCAAGGGAAGAAACAAGACTTTCAGTCCAGCTGGATGCCACCCCCAAGGGGATCTGTTCATGGACCACATCACAGCTGGAAGAATCCAGAAAGCCCAGTTCTTGCTTTGAGATCACGGCACAGAGGGCAATTTAAATAAATGTGCCTTTGCAGGAGCTGAGAGGAAGGACCGAGGGCAGCCACTGTTTGTTCTGGAAGCGGCTAAAAAAGCTGCCTGCTGCCTCCCGCCGCTCTCAGCGGTGCTCCGAGCATCACTGGGCAAAAGCAGGTCACAGCAGGAGGGGGGGGGTCTGTGACAAGCACCTAAGAAGCCTTTGACTAGTAGCGGGAGGCCCTCGACTTTGACCACATCCTATCTGTGCCCTTCGGTTTAATGTCCAGGCGCCTGCTTTTTAACCAGAAAAAGAAAGTTTGTCGGAGGCCCGAGTGCCGCCACTGAACACGACCCGAACTGGGAGATTTGTGAGCGCCTTCCAGCCCCAGGTACGGGGACTCCATAACACGGCAGCGCAATCCTGTGCAAAGTCCCGCCAGCCCACCTCTCAGCCACCCCGTCCCCTCGGGTGTCTGCCTTCCCGACTGGTGCTTTTCCATTATTATGACCCTTGTCTGCAGCAGGCACTACATTTACATACAAATTCACAAGGTGCAGAGGGTCCTGGGTAGTCCCTACGCATGACACAGGTGGCAGCCCCGCCCTGGGGCTCTCCATTCCTTTCTGCAGAGGCAACCACCGTTGCCAAGGTGTGTGCGCCTGGTGAGTGAAACGCGTGGTCCATTCGCACGTCCTTTGTTTCGCTCTCAAAGCCAGGACAGCAGCCTGCCCCGTGCTGTGGAGACCAGGAGGGGACACTCCAATTCTGCAGGGTCTGCTCCTGCTTCTCAGCAGGTGCCTGTGGGTGCGGGTGTGGGGGCGGCACAGGGTACACGGGATGTGGGGCGTGGCCTGTCCCCAGGTCTGGATAGGGACGCTGTTTCCTCACCTGCAACACACACTGTGGTGAGTGTCCCTGAACACGCAGAAGTGCCCGTTCCTCGGCCTCGAGGCGCCGCACCCCTGCAGCCGGGCCGGGTTTCGCCGGGGTGCCTGGCCAGGGCAGCGCCTGCGCTGTCGTTTAGATTCCCTTCCTCCTGTGGGTGAGGCTGAGGGCGCTTTATTGCACATGCTGGTGGCGACTCAGGCCTCCTTTTGTTCTAAGTGCTCCTGTCCTTGGTCTGCTGTGTTTGTTTTTGCCTCTCTGGCCTGGAGATGCTATTTATCGAGTCGCACACGTGTATCCCAGCTTCTTGTACATCTCTTACCGTCCCCACCTGTGGGTTTTGCCCTGGTGAAATTCGTGTTTCTAAGTTGGCCACCGTTTGAGGTTATAAGTTTTGATTCATCGCAATTGTGTCCTGCAGACAGTGTGAGGTGTGGATTCAGACGGCGCTTTTCCCAGATGGGTAACCGGCTTCCCCACGTCACTTATCAACTAACCCACATTTCCCCAGGAGCTGCCACACGCCGATTCCATATGGCAGGTTCCTGTGCACACCCGGGTCTGCTTCCAGACCTTCCTCCTCCTCCCTTCCCGTGCTCTGGGGCTGCGTGTTACTCACTACGGCGAGTTTTCACTACGCGTGTTTTTGTGGCAAAAGAACATTTTGATTATAACCCAGCGTCCACCTTTTCCCCAAGTCAGATGTGTCTTAGCCACTCAGTCTGTGCGTTCATTCGTCCGTCATTCCAACATGTATGAAACACCCAAATGCAGGATTCTGGGCTCGGGAGAGAAAAGGATGAGCGTAGTGCCCCCAGGGCGGTGGGCACCCAGGTCCACGCTGGGGGAGTGTCAGAAACTCACGGTCAAGAGCAGGGGCCCTGGGGCAGGGTCTCTCCATCAGATCTGGGCCCCACCACTCACCAGCCACGTGGCCCCGGGAAGATTATTCAACCT